AGGTATAAAAGATAAGAAATCTGGTAGTTAAATCTAGTTAAAACTACAACTCTTGTGTGTGTGTGTGTGTGTGTGTGTGTGTGCTCAAATGCCTTATCGAACATGCTTATTTTTGAGGATTGTATTTCTTTTTCGGGGAATAAAATTATGGACTCTGTTTTTAAAGTGCACCCCTTTGAGTTCTGCAAATGGACAGACTTACAGAGTACTCTACTTCTTTTTTTTTTTTTTTTTAAAGATTTTATTTATTTGATGCAGAGAGAGAGATCACGACTAGGCAGAGCAGCAGGCAGAGAGAAAAGGGGAAGCAGGCTCCCCGCCGAGCAGAGAGCCCGATGTGGGGCTCGATCCCAGGACCCTGAGATCATGACCTGAGCTGGAGGCAGAGGCTAAATCCACTGAGCCACCCAGGCACCCCAGAGTACTCTACTTCTTAGGGAATCACTGAATTTCAGTTTTCATGTAGCATTAGGTTTGCAAAAGCAATTATGTCTCTAGAGCTGCATCCTCTCAGTGGTGGCCCCATCAAGTAAAATAATAAATGTGAGGTTGCTTTGTGAATGTAGAGGTGTTAACCTGGTAGTGGGGACAGAACCCCCTGGGTTCTTCACCAAACTGTGTGCACCTAGCTCTTCTGATCCAATTCTCACCCACTCCCTGTGCTGATTAGGAACATCCAGGAGAAATACCAACTATGAGGTGTGAGTGAGGTTCTTAGCAATGCTGCTGCGGCCTGTTTCCTCCCACCCTCCAGTTGCCAACACTGTGCTTACTAGATTTGTGACTTAAGATTTTATCATGTTTTTTAAGAAGCACAGTTTAAAAACCTTGTTTTTAAGCTGAAGCATTAGGGTGTTGACAGAAACGGACACTTCTGGCTGTCGGCTGGATAATTTGGGCCAACCTAGGAAACAGTCTTGGCTCCTAGGAGTTGCGGTGTTGGCGTCCTTTGAGCAAAAGTGAGTGTCAGCATCAAGGATCCACATATAGGACCTGGTGGAGAATTTTTAAATGTTAAGAGTTCTAATTTCCTCTTTGTTTTCCATCTTCTCTCCCTCTCTCCAAATTAACACGTTTTATTTGCCAATAGGTCAAGGAAGTGAAGAAGACTTCCTCTGGCTTGGAACTGTGCATGGTTACCTCAGTTCCTGGTAGGAAACCCACCTTGACCACGATTCCGGATGTTGACTGCCTGCTGTGGGCCATTGGGCGGGACCCAAATTCCAGTGGCCTGAATTTAAACAAAGTGGTAAGCTTAGTCTAACCAAAACACTTGAATATTTAGCACTTATGTGTTCCCCACCACCTTGACCCCTAAACTTTTGGTGGGTTAGATTTTTTTCTTTTAATCTGTGCATCATTTGTCATCAAATCCCATTGCTTCTTGAAATTGAAAAAAAATTTATTTTACCTTTTTAATGTGATCATCCTAGATCAGGTCTCTGCCCTGACTAGCCGCTTCCTTACAGATTTCCTTTTTACAATGATACTGGCTCTTTAAAGCCTTGAAATTATTCCTTATCATCTATAACCTAATCTCGATTATTGGGTGTGTC